TCTGCCTCGGGCAGAAGGCCATGTGATTTCAGGTAGTACAGAGCCACACATCTTAACTCTGAGTACTTATTTTATGTCAACGCGTTCTGGAAAAACCTAAAACATGGAATCATGGTATCACAGACATCACCGTTAAATGGAAGCTTAACAAGCCTAAGGGTGGTGGGAGAATGAGCTTCTTTCTTTTTTTTTTTTAAGATTTTATTTATTTATCTGACAGAGACACAGCGGGAGAGGGAACACAAGCCGGGGAAGTGGGAGAGGGAGAAGCAGGCTTCCCACTGAGCAGGGGGCCTGATGCGGGGCTCGATCCCAGGACCCTGAGATCATGACCTGAGCCGAAGGCAGACGCTTAATGACTGAGCCACCCACGAGCCCCAAATGAGCTTATTTCTTAATTGAATTATAGCTCTAGTGATACATAGACATGACAAAAAACTGTAGCGGTAGTAAAGGAAAGACTGGGGTTTGGGAAACATAACCCTTTATAAAAAAACAGAAGGTAGAGAGGCCCACCAGCAGAAGCCTGGACTCCAAGTGGGTTCCACTTCTAGTTATGAGTGCCCACTTAGCAACCAGGAATTTAGAAAGAAAATCAACTTCGGAACTGAAGAAACACATTGTATATAAACTGGGGGAGGTCTCCTTTCTGTAGCAGGACCTGAGCGATCAGCCACCAGATGGGACAGAGCCATACCCTCAGAAACTCCTATTTCTAACTTGTGACCTGGCGGGACCACTGGGAAGGCCCAACCACAATGAGGTTGTGACGGAAAGACCTAGACCAGCCCTTTCTAACAGAACTTTCCAATGATGTTCTATATCTCTCCCATCCAATATGGCAGTCACTGGCCGCATGTGTTAACTAACTAGTAGCCACATGTGGCCAGTGGCTACTAGTTAGTTAACATAGACACAGCCACAGTGCCCTGTGTTAAGGCCAGCTGTCTGACAGATGGTGGTGGGTCAGAAGGCCAGATTTACTGAGCACAGACATGGGAAGAAGACCAGGAGCCCAGTGGGAGATGATATTGCAACCAGACAGCCCCAGGTCAACCTGGTCGGTCTACCTGGCAGGTCTATCGTTTCCGTGGGAAGTGACTGGGTTATAGAACCAAACTTGCCAAAATCATCCATTAAAACCACCCCCTTGCTCTTAATTCTGTGCTCCCTACTCACTGATTAAAATTTAGTTTCCAAATAAATTTGCTTGCAGGAAGAAAAATGCCCAGACCTATACCTGGCATCTCAGCTCCCACCCAGCAGTCTGTCTCATCAATTAGTGGATAGTCTGGTTCCAGCAGCCTCTGTTGGAGCCTGGTTAGTATGAACAAGGCTCCACAGGACAGACTACTATATGGGTTTTTGATGACATGATACAGAGGACAGTGAGCCTGTGTAGACTGTAGAAGCAGAAAGGCTTGGGTTCAGACACTGGCTCAGCCACTCGCTAACTCTGTGATCTTGAAAAAGCTCCTGAACACCTCAGTGCTTGGCCTCCTTTTTTTTTTTTTTTAAAGATTTTATTTATTTATCTGAGAGAGAGAATGGGAGACAGAGAGCATGAGGGGAAGGGTCAGAGGGAGAAGCAGACCCCCCACCAAGCAGGGAGCCCGATGTGGGACTCGATCCCGGGACTCCAGAATCATGACCTGAGCTGAAGGCAGTTGCTTAACCAACTGAGCCATCCAGGCGCCCAGTGCTTGGCCCTTCTGTCCATGTCACAGGTCAGCTCGTGGCCACAGGCAAAGTGAGGTGAGGAGGCAGACTCAGAGTAGGGTTCCATCCCGTGTTGTAGGTTTCGGGCAGAATACCCACTCATGTTCCTAGCCTGTCCAAGGCACAGTAATTTCATCTAGGGACACTGCTAGTCTGCAGAAAGCAATGCAAGCCAGAGGCCTGATGGCCTACGAGTCTGCTGGGGGGCAGGGTGATGGAAAGCACCTCAGGAGGAATGTCGGGGAGCCAGGGATTTCTTACCTTTACCACAGGCAGCTTTCAAAAAGAATTCACAGACAGCAGCCCCCGACTCTGCAGGAAGGAAAGGAGAGGCATCAAAGTGAGGTGTGCCTGGGGACAGCTGAAGACATGGGGAGGGGACCCAGTTTGCCTTTGACCCATGAAGGGTTCAGGGTACAGGAAACAGACTGGCAAAAAAATGCAAGGCCTGGCAAATACAAAAAAAGCTGCTCATTTTGGTCACTCCCTGCAAAATGAGACACCTATGTTGAGACCAGTCATTCTGAGAGCCTCCTGTAAGCGAGATGCTTTCAAGGAGTTAGGAGTGGGTGTGGGAAGGATGGGGTACAAGATCACAGAAGTTAATTACCCCCAGTTCGGACTCGGACCTTCCAGAGGGCTAATTCATGGGTCTTTGAACATGAGGCAGAGGGAGGGAATGAGCTCACAGGAAACACAAACAATCGAATGGGGACTCTGAGGAAGGGACAAGCGCCTCAGAGGTGCTATTCCGGAAGGAAGAGCATAATGGAAGACACAGAGGCAGAACTCTGCCTGTCCAAGATCTAGTTCATGGTGGCGCAACACCAACACACAATTATTAAAGGTGCAGTCTTCCGCTTCTGCAGAGGCAGCCCGTGCAGGTGAGGTGAGCGATGGAACAAAGGCTGAGTGTGGTATCAGTGACTCCAGGGGGCAAGGCTTTGCAATGAGCCCAGGAATTCACTCGCCATGGCTGCTAGAATAAATGGTCCGTGGCTTCACAGACAGTTTCCTCTATCAGCAGGCATGTTAGAGTTGCTGAAAATCCACCAACAGCATCTTGGAAAGCCAGTTTCATACCTCTCTTCGCTAACTTGCAGGAGATTCCTTGGATTCTCGGAAGCAGGCAGATTTTGCTAGGATAAACTTAAGGCTGTCAAGAGGGTATCACTCATTTGCATCTCAAAAAGCTTAGAAAGCCAAAAAGTTGTCACTCATTTGCATTTCAAAAAGTTGAAAAAGCCTTATAGTAAGGAAAGCATCATAGAAGAGTATTTCTGGGCTCTTCTCAGAGGTTTGCTTCGTTCCTTGAAGCCAGAAGTCCATAATCCTGGGGCCTGGGTCTCAGGCAGATAGGTTAAGAGTATGCCTTTAGGGGAGAACTGAAAATTCTTCCCAAAACAAGATGACAGTGAAGTGCCAGGACAAAGGAGAAAGGGTTGTGGCCTCCCAGGGCTTTAACACACTGAACTAGCTCATGGGCTGGCAGAGTGCTGAGGGTGCCTACCAAGTCTGAGGCCCAAGCCAGGGCAGCACCCGTGGCCAGGCATGTCCCACAGGTATGTGGGCCCCTTGCTACTGCACCTGCCTTCACAGACTCAAGTCTGTGCGGTCCCATGCTGGAGAAAGGTGGGTGGGAAGGAGCTGCCCTGCATGGATGGTTCCATGGCCTCAGGCTAATGCCATCAACACAGGGAAAGGCCACATGTGCAAAGGTGGATGTGCATGCACAAGCAGGAAGTGATCACGTGTGTCGAGGGGTCAGCAGCTGCTTATGCGTATCATAGAGATGCAGGTGGTGTGTGTATAAGATAAGGTTGCCAGAGGTATGTCACGTGGGTAGAAGCAATATCTCACAGAGAAGCGTCAGCATGAGTGGGACAACTCTGGTCACGTGTGCATGAGAAGTGTGGCCGCTTGACGGGAATGAAGCTGCAGGGAGGCTCTGCCAAGCCACCGACCGGTGGGAGAACGGGGGGCCTCTGGCAGTTATGGGACATGGCACAGGGAACTGCGGACTGAGCCAGTCAAGAACACTGGAGAGCTCACCTGGCTCCACCATGTACCAAGTCGCCAGGGACCAAGTGGTCTTCGGCAAGTCCCTTCCCCCACCCAGGCCTCAGATGCCCCATCTGTGGATTGAACACAAGGACCTCTGAGCTTTAATGGTACAACGTTAGACTTCAAGTGTGTCCAGAAAGGAGAGAAGAGAACTGCTAGTTTCTTTTAAAGTGCTAGACACCCACCTAAGTTGGCTGGAGGAGCTATCATCTGAAGGTGGAGAATGAAGGGAGCTCAAGCAGCTGCCCAGGTAGGATGAATGGCCCAGAATTGGGGTCCAGAGGAAAAGTGAGGGATAGGCTCCCAGGAGTGCACATCCTAGAATGGAGCTTGAGAATCTACCTGGGAATCTCCTACAGAGAGGAACAGGTGGGTCTTCCTCCAGCAAAACTCCTTCAACCGCCCAGTTTTGATGAAAGCAAGGAGAGGGTGCTCAAAGTGGGGGGCTGGAGATGAAAAGGGGGAATATCTATTTTCTTTTAGTTAGGGGAGGGAAGTAATTTCCAATCCGAGACACCCGCGTTCATTCAAGACCTATTTGAACAGCCAGACACGGTCCTGCCCTCCTGAAGACTGTATTAGAATAGTCCCAGGGGTTCAAAGACTGGAGAAAGGGGGGCTCCCGACTCTGAATGGAGGAAGGGGGTCCCAGGATGGGTGGGGGAAGGGGTTCCACCACCGATGGGGAGAAGGTCCGGGACCCAGGGAGAGGGCGTCCCGAACCGAGGGGGAGGGGTCCCGGGGCTGAGTCGGTCGCGCCCCTCGCCCGCAGCCCCGGCCCCGCGCTCACTGTCCATGCCGGGGAAGGGCAGCGGCTGTGCCCCGAGCTGCTGCTCCACTGCGATCTCCAAGTCGAACTTGATGTGGTCCACGCTGGCGATGATTTCCTGCATGGCGGCGGCGGCGGCCACACCGGCCCGACTACCCCTCAGGTCCCTCGCCGCCCTCACACCTCTACCCGCCACCCGCCCCGCCGCACACGGTCCTCCGCCTCGTCTTGCCTCGCCGCCGCCGCCGCCGCCGCCCGAGGGATGCCGGGAGCTCCCGGAGCCCGCGCCGGCCTTTCGCCTGTCCAGACCCGGCCAATAGAGCGGGGAGTACGGGACGCTCCGCTAGGCCAGGCTAGCCGCCAGCCGAACTCCCGTCTCTCCTCGCGGCCCGGGGTAACCCGCCTCCGCGCGTACGGGGCGGGGAGTTCGCGTCGCGGAGTGCGCCTGCGTGAAGCCGGCGCCGGCGTGCGCGTCAGAGAAGGTCTCTGGGAACGAGACCCTGGTCCGCGGCGCGGTGAGGCGGGCGCGGTGACGCGGAGGGGTGACGCGGAGCCGGACTGGGGGTGACTTGGGGCGGGAGTCCGGGCTGCATTTGCTGGGCCGGACTTTTTGAGTGAGTTCCTGTTTGACCTTTACTGGAGCCCCGTTCCCGGGCGGGGACAGGACGGAGGGGCAGCGAGTGTCGCAGCCGGGGTCAGGGCCGGGGACGTCTAGTGAGACGACGGAGGCTCCAAAGGCCAGTGTGGAGGGGGTCGGGCCGGCCAGAGGGCCCCGGGGAGCGTCTGGGGAGGGGCCGGTCCCCCAGAGAGGACAGCGGCAGCGCGTCTCCAATTCAGGGGATATTAGCTTGGGCAGGTGAATGAACTTGGGTAGAAAGAAAATTGCCCCTTTAGTTTTCTCTGTGTGAAATGAGCATTTCCTTCCGTGACTGACGGAGTAGCGTTAACAGGGCCCTAAACTAAGTCGTGATTTCTAATGGAGATGAGTGTAAATGATGGCTGGAGACACAGTATCTGCAGCTAATACAGGCTATCAGGTACACCGATCCCCACTGTGACAGGATGGCAGGATCTTGGTATTAATGCGTCGAAAAAGCACTAGTATAGGAGGAGTTTTTAAAAAACGTCTTGATACCTATTTCGGTATCATTGGGGTTTTTCTTGCAGTGCGGTGCATTTCATTTAATGCATGTAAGCACTTTATCTAATGTGGCTACTTGAAAATGTAAAATTAGACCTCGGAAGTGATTGCAGATTGATTAATAACCGAGGCTCAGGAAGGGGAGTGACTTGCTGGGGGTCTTGGAGCAGTGCAGCCGAATGCAAAGGTGAGACTGGCTGGCTGTGGAGCTGGGCTGCCTGTGAACCCAGGTCTGGGTACCGTATTAGCCAGCCTCTCTTGACCAGCACCCTCGTGACACTAGTACAGAGGGCCCTTAGCATCCCCTGTCTGGTGAGACCTGCCGCTCTAACAGAAATGTAACTTGAGCACATATGTAATTTTACATTTTCTTTCTTTTTTTTTTTTTTTTTTAAGATTTTATTAATTTATTTGACAGAGAGAGCAGGGGAGGGAGAAGCAGACTTCCCCGTTGAGGAGGGAGCCCGATGCTAGACTCCATCCCAAGACCCTGGGATCATGACCTGAGCGGAAGGCAGATGCTTAACCGACTGAGTCACGCCGGCGCCCCCTGGTATTTTTTTATTGAAGAGTTTGAAGTGTGCAGACCAGGATCTCTAGCCTAGCACTGTCCAGTAGAAATATAATGCAAGCACATATATGATTTAAAATTTTTAAGTAGCCACCTTAAATAAAGCTTACAAATCGTGAAAACTAAGTTACATTTTTTTTAGCCCAATATATCCAAAATTATCATTTCGACATGTCAAAAGATTATTGTGTGTAATTTACCTTCTTTTTTTGGTATGAAATCTTTGAAATCTGGTGTGTGATTTGTTCTTAAAGTGTGTCTTCATTTAGACTGGACACATTTTAAGTGGTCAGTAGCCCCATGTGGCCAGTGGCTACTATATTGAACAGGACAACTCTGGCCCATTTATCCATAAATTTTGCAGAAAAGGCATGCTTGAGTTAACTTCCTTGTGCAGAGGCCCAGAATGCTGTTTTTTTTCTAATAGTACATTATAATAGCTACAATTTTTAAAGCATCTATTAAATGAGATGTACTAGAAACATCTCATTGAATGTTTATAACCTTGTGGTGAGGTCGGTAGGATCATCCTCATCTTGCAGCTGAAGAAATCTAGGCACAGGAAGGTCAAGGGATGGGCCTGGTCCTAGAGCTCTAGCCAGGACTCAGACTCGGGTCTAACTTCCGTGCCCGGTCTCTTAGGTCACGGCTTGATAATACCACTAGCTTATGTCTGTTGAGTGCTTACTGTGCCGGCGCTGTGCTGCATGCCGTGTATCAGAGGCCTCGTTCAATTGTTGCTATGGTGCTTTGTGGGCGATGGTTCTAGTTAACCCCAGTTCACAGGGCAGGAGACTGAGACCAGAGCGGCGAGTGCCCAGGGACTCATGGGTGGTTCTTTGGCAAAACTGAAATCTGAACCTAGGCGTTCTAATCTCAGCACTCGTGCTTGTCACCACTTCTCTGTCTTCTCTCTGCCTTTTGTGACTACAGACCCAAGTAGTCTTCATTATGTTTCTGACCTGTGCCAGGCCCTGGAGGAGAAAGCCAGACATGGACCTCGCAAGATTGGCCCGGCTTTTCTCTGGACTCCGCCCTGTGGGACTGTCCACCCTCCAGCACCTTGGCCCTCTCGGAGCCAAATGGGCAGGAGGCAGGGAGGGGCCTGCATGGCTGAGGGCTGTGGGGCTGACTCGAGCCTGCAGCAGCTCCCCCTCACAGCTGCCCCTTGGCCAAGGGAACCCGAAGAACATGAGCAGCCTCAGCTCTGACCTGAGCCAGCCTGGCCCCACGTCCGCTCAGGAGGAAGAGGAGAGCTTTGGGACCCTCTCCAACAAGTACTCCTCGAGGAGAATGTTCCGAAAATCGACAGCCCAGTTGTATAACTTACGTCTCAGGGAACAGAATGCTGAAGACGAGGAAAGGGGGCTGGAGCCAGAGATAAGGCGGGGCCGGAAAAACACGCCTTACTGGTACTTCTTTCAGTGCAAACACCTGATCAAAGAAGGGAAGGTGAGGGAACCTTTGGATTCTGTTGCTCCCGGTTCTACTTCCCTGGAAGCCCAGTATTTTGGAGGGGCCACCTTACCTTCCCGATCTCTAAATATTTGGATGCTTAGGGCTCTTCTGTCTTCACTCACCCTGGGTGCTGCATTGGGCAATCCACCAGCCCCCTGGCTTTCACAACCCCCCCCCCCAATTGCAGTTCTCATGTTCGTATCTCCAGCCCAGCCTTCCCAGTCTGCATATCCAGCTACCTCACCAGCTCCCTTACGCTCACCTACATGGGCCTGAAAGTTTGGTTTCCAGCCTTGGTTTCCCTACACTGTCGTCATCTCACTAAATGGCAATTGCATTGTTGCATCCGCCCAGGCCGGAAGCCTTTGGGCCGTCCCTGACTCTTCTCTTTCTCTCACCAGCTGGATCTTCAAAATGTTGCCAATCCTCACACTTCGCACAGTGCTACCCCTGGAAGCCCAGGCCTCGCCTTATCCTCACCCCCTCAGCTATCACGACACTTGTCACTGAGCTCCCTGCCGCCCTCACCACCTCCTTCTCCCACGTCTGCGCGCAGCACAGAGCCACCCTGTTAAAGCAGATTATGTTACTCTTCCTTCCAGGACCCTCAGTGTGTTCGATGACACTGATGTTCATTTTCTTAGGTGTTGATAATGACATTGCATTTATGTTAAAAATCTCTTAGAGGTGTGTGTTGAAGATCTGGGGAATGAAATGATGTAATGTCTAGAAATGTGCTTTAAAAAATTCATTTTGGGGGTGCCCGGGGGGCTCAGTTGGTGAAGCATCCAACTCTTGATCTCCGCTCAGGTCTTGATCTCAGGGTCGTGAGTTCAAACCCCACACTGGGCTCCAATTTAGGTGTGGAGCCTACTTAAAAAAAAAAAAAAAATCAGTTTGGAGCAGGAGTACAGAGTATGGATGAACAAGATTGGCCAAATTTAATAACCATTGTAGTTATACTACTCTCTTTACTTTTGTGTATATTTGAGCTGTTCCGTAACAAAAAGTTGAGAAATAAAGAGAAGCCAAAGCCCTCAGAATAGCTTATGAAGCCTGCAGGGTCTTCCTTCCACCCCCCCCCTTACCTCTCTACTCTTATCTCTTCCGCACGGTGCTGCAGCCATCCCGGCCTCCTCTCTGCTCCTCCAGCTCCAACTCCCAGGCACACTCCTGCCTCAGGGCCTTTGCACTGGCTGTTTTTCTTAGACAGTGTTGTTCCTTCCCTCACCTCTTTCAGATCATTGTTCTGTCACCTTCTGGGTGAAGTCCTGCTTGGCTGTCATATCTAAAACTGAATCTCCCATCCCCTTCTTCAGGCGCTTCTTGCTTTATTTTTGTTTTAAAACCTAACATCATTTGACACAGTATATATTTTTCTTAGTTATCTCACTCGGCGTAGGTCTTCCACACTAGAAGACACGTTCCGTGAAGGAGTCCCCTCTTGTTCACAGCTGTATCCCCAGGAAATAGACCTTGCCTGGTACATAGCAGGATTCAGTCATTACTGGTTGAACCACTGGATGAAAAAGAAAATTAAGTTGTAAAGGAGTGAACTGAGGATTTAAAGGGGATGGTGTAAGGAGTAGGTGGGGTAGAGATGACTGTGGGCCACGGGGCTTTGCAGCCAGAGGAAGCCGGTCACTCGGGGCTGCTGTGTTGCGCCATCACAGGAGTGTTGCTATGAACGGCCCCCTGCGATCGTGCAGCACAGTGGCCCTGAGTGTGCAGAACCCGGTCTCCCATTCCCACTTAGACCCAGGGGGCTGGCGCTGCGGATGGGGTCACCCAGGAAGCAAGGGCAGGACAGATCCCAGGATTTGCAGAATGAACATTTTCTGAGGACTTACTGAGGGCCAGGCCCTGGCTCTACTGTAGGCCCACAAAGAGGCAAAGACATGGGCGGCCCTCCTTTCAAGGAGTTCGTCGTCTGGCTGGAGGGAAGGCAGCCATAGCAGTGGGCCAAGAGCCTTCATAGGTGGTGGGAGTTCAGTGGGCTTTTCCTCCTGGCCACCACAAAGCTCTCTTGCTGCAGAGCACAGGGACCAAGAGGCTGGTGGCAGAGGCCCAGAGCGGCTGTGTAGCTCCTGGGCAGGCCTGGGAGGGTCCCTCATTCTCAGTCTCCTTCCCTCTGCTAAGGGTCTCTAAGGCCGCCCTGAGCCCCCTCCCGTGTTCCCTCCCAGCTGGCCGAGGCCCTGGACCTGTTTGAGCGGCAGATGCTGAAGGAGGAGCGACTCCAGCCCCTCGAGTGCAACTACACGGTGCTGATTGGGGGCTGCGGGCGGGCTGGATACCTGAAGAAGGCCTTCCGCCTCTACAACGATGTGAGTGGGGGGCCCAGGGCTGGGGGCAGGGGGCGAGGCTCCAGAGAGCCTGGGCTTTAGAGGCAGAGAGAGCCAGGCACGCATGGTGGGATGTCACCTGCGGCCAGACTAACCTCCCAGCCTCTGTTTCATCCTCTGTAAAGTGGAGGTGATCTTGGATGATGACATGAGATGCGCTGGAAGGTCCTCCAGCACCTGCCTTGACCGCGGCAGGGCCCACGTGCCCCCTTCCTTCTCCACCGTTGCCCCAGGTGTGTTCACGTCCCCTCACCCCTACTTACTCCCCACACCGGACACACATGCGCACTTGGTTTCCAAAGCTGGTCCTCTGAAAAGGGCTTTCATTCCTCTTGGAAGATGGTTTCGCTTTATATTCATCCACTTCCTGTGTTGTATTTATTGTTCTCACAGCCAGGAAGCTGTTTCCTCTGTGAGCCGAGAAAGAGCTTTGCCTAGGAGGTTAGTAGGCTCTAGGAGGAGTGATCCCACCCTATCTCGCCGCCAGAAGCAAGACTTATTGTCATCTGGGATGTGCCTGCCCGAGGCCGGGTCATCTCTAGCTGGAAGCAAGGGGGAGGAATTGTGGTTACAAACAATAAAGTGACATATCCTCTAATAGACCTAATGAAATATCATGGTGGGGAATGACGGGAGGCTTCCCTGACCAGCAGAAAAGCGTTCAGGTGCTAAGTGAGGGGTGGCTGGTGCCAGGGGGGTGTTTCCTATGGTTCTTGGTTCACAGTCCGGTAACAGCCCTTCCTCACATGCGCAGGATCCTTAAGTGACTTACAACCTGTCACCTCAGAGAAGTGCAGTTCCCTCTTTCTTGCCTTAAGTTACTCTCCATCAATTTGCTGCTTATTTTTTTTTAATTTTTTATTTTGGAACACTTTCAGGTTTATGGTAAAGCTGCAAAGACAGTAGAAAAAGTTCCCAAATACCTGTCACCCAGCTAATCCCCATATTAGCATCTCACGTAGTGACGATGCATTTGTCAGAACTAAGAAACCACTGCTGGTACATGACTGTGGATGAACTCCAGATTTTACTTGGATCTCACCACATTTTTCCACCAAGATACTCTTTCTATTCCTGTATCCAGTCTGGGTTCTCCATTTTGTGACATTTTTGGAGTTTCCTTTTTTTCCCCCTGACATTGACAGATTTAGGGAGTATTGGTCAAGGATTTTGTAGAATGTCTCTATATTTATACTTTTCTTTTTTAAAGATTTTATTTATTTATCAGAGAGCACAAGCGAGGGGTGGGCAGAGGGAGAAGCAGACTCCCTGCTGAGCAGAGGCTTAACCGATGGAGCCACCCAGGAGTCCCTCCATTTGTACTTTCTTGTGACGAGGCTGGGGTTATGGGCTCGGGGAAGGGCTATCACAAAGGTAAAGTGCCCTTTTCCTGTCAGGGGACTTATCAGAGAGGACACGTACCTTGGTCACTTGGCGAAAGTGGTGTTTGCCAGCTTTCTCCACCTCTGCTATTTTTCCTTTGCCGTTTTCTGTGCATGTCCTTTGCAGCCCTTATTACTGTTGTTGATTACTTATTTGTCTGTTATGTTTCCTCCTGTCCTGGAGTGGAAGCTCGATGAAAACAGGCTGTGTATGTCCTGTAACCACTGGTGGCCAGTGCCCAGCCTGTAGTAAGTCCTCAGGACACATTTGTCATGTATGTGAGGATGCACACAGCATACATCATCCTCAAAGTCGGGATCATGATCCTCATTTTTCAGATGAGGAAACAGAGGCCCAGAGAGATGAAGGGCCATGTCCAAGGTCACCCTGCTTGAGAGCATTGGGGCTGGGATTTGAGCCCCAAATGGCCTGACTCTGAGAACAAGGCTCTTTACACTCTGCAAGCAGCTTGTCACCTGTGCTCGGTCAGATGGCCCTTCTCTGGGAAAGAGCACTGGGTTTACCAGGAGCTTCTCAAACTCCAGCTTGCTCAGTCACCTGGAGGGCTTGATAAGCAGAGTGGCAGCCTCACCCCCGGGTTTGTGACTCTGCAGGGCAGTGGGGGGTGGGGGGTGGGGAGGAGGTCCTGAGATGCTGCAGTGACATGCTCCTGGCTGCTGCTGGTCTGGGGGCCACTCTCCTAGCTGACCCTCACAACAGCCTTTAAAGGTAATGGTATCATCCCCGTTTTTCCGACAAGGAGCTAACTTGCCCATGACCCCTCAGTTAGTAAATGCTGGAGCTGGGGTTTGATTGTCCCCTCCTTCCTTTTCCCAGACCAGCTCCACCACATGGGTCTTAACAGGGTGACCTGGGAGCATCAGGAGGATCCTGCTATACGCATCTCAGGCCCAGAGTGGGCTGACGGCCATGGGGAGGATGACTTTTTGCTTGGTGCGTCTGGATGCAGGGTCCATTTTCAGAGCCCTCTGGCCGAGTCAGGGTTTTGGAGGAGGAGGCTCTGACATGTCACTCAGTTCCGCCTTAGCACAGGCCCTGCTAGCGGATCTGTTTAATGCAGGAACAGGGTCCTCTCTAGCTTTCCCTCAGGGTGGATGTCACCTGTGTGTCCAGCTGACCCCAGAGCCACCTCCAGATGTCTTCCCATCTCCACAGATGAAAAAACGGGACCTGGAGCCCTCAGATGCCACATATACAGCCCTGTTCAACGTCTGCGCCGAGTCCCCCTGGAAGGACTCTGCACTGCAGAGTGCCCTGAAGCTCCGGCAGCAGCTCCAGGCCCGGAACTTCCAGCTCAACTTGAAAACGTACCATGCCCTGCTGAAGATGGCGGCCATGTGTGCAGACCTCAGGATGTGCCTCGATGTGTTCAAGGTGAGGTTGCCCCTTCCTTCCTTCTCCCCACTGCGCGGCCGGTCCCACGTGGCAGATGTGAGGCTGTGGCTCACTGTCCCTCACGGGAGGGTTCGGGCTGATGAGTCGGGCTCGGGTTCACCAACTCTCAGAAGCCTCAGTCTGACAGCTAAAGAGGTCCCACCCCTAGGAGGGCGGTGGGCTGCGTGTGCTGTGACTCCGTGTGTGGGACCCCTTGGTGCCGCAGCGGGGGGCGGGGCTTCAGAGCGCCAGGGATGAATCCGTGCTACCCAGGGAAGGCCTCCTGCTTAGAACAGTGAACAAAAGTCCCCGGTTTCCAGGAGGTGCCAGGTTCGAGGGAAGCAGGGGAGTGGGGGCCTGGGAGTGCGGAGCAGGGGCCTGTCTGTGTCAGGGCTTTGGCCCAAAGCCTCTTTTTCCTTTTTTTTTAAAGTGTGCTCCATGCTGGAGCTTGGAGCCCATGTGGGGCTTGAACTCTTGACTCTGAGATCAAGACCTGAGCTGAGATCAAGATCAAATGGGCCACCCAGGTGCCCCCTGTAGCCTCTTATTCCCCGGCTGTAAGGAGGGTTTTTATTCCCAGTTCCAGAGAAGGAGACAGTGAGGGGGTTTAAGCAGGGAGGAGCACGAGCAGGGTGGTGGTTCTGCCCGCTCAGGTTGGGAAGGGAGACAAACATGAGTTAACACCTAAAGGAAGGCTCTAGGTCCCCACGACCAAACCTCAGGAGAACCTCGGCACACCCTTGGCAGCCTCGTCTTCCCTCAGGCCCATGGGCAGGGCACGCTTGCTCTCTGCTCTTAGGTTTGGTCTCGCTTTTTCCATCGCTGACTGACGCTTTTCCTCACTGCACGTTGTGAGGTCGCTCCTGCCACCCGCAGGACAGACGACCTGATGGGCTGTCCAGGCACCACGTGGTGCAGAGCAGCCTTTGACCAGACCGTGGGTTGGCTGCCTTGAGCTGGCCTGCCCTGCAGGAGAGGCAGGATCATGGGGTCTCAAGCCTGGAGACCTTGAGAGTAACGCAACCCTCCGAAGGGTGCTGTGTGAGAGGCAGGTAGGTGAAGCTTCCAGAAGAGGGCAGTGTGGCTGCTAGGCCCCTGACCTGTGCAGAGATGCCATTGATATTTTATGCAGGTCACTCTAGCTGGTGGGGGAGAGGGACCAGTTAAGAGACAGCTGTGATTGTCCAGGAAGAGGGAGCACAAACTAAAACCTCCCTGAGAGGGGCGCCTGGGTGGCTCAGTCGTTAAGCATCTGCCTTCGGCTCAGGTCATGATCTCAGGGTCCTGGGATTGAGCCCCGCATCGGGCTCCCTGCTTGGCGGGGAGCCCGCTTCTCCCTCTCCCTATGCCCCTCCCCCCTGTTCATTCTCTCTCTCAAATAAATAACTAAAATCTTTAAAAAAAAATTGGGATGCCTGGGTGGCTCAGTCGTTAAGCGTCTGCCTTCGGCTCAGGTCATGATCCCAGGGTCCTGGGATCGAGGTCCGCATCGGGCTCCTTGCTCAGTGGGAAGCCTGCTTCTCCCTCTGCCTGCCACTCCCGCTGCTTGTGCTTTCTCTTTCTCTCTAATAAATAAATGAAATCTTTAATAAATAAATAAATAAATAAATAAATAAATAAATAAATAAATAAATAAATAAAAATAAAACCTCACTGAGGTGGAAGGTTTGGTGACAGAGGTGGGGATGGGAGAGCGGCAGTGGTGGGGTAGGGTGGGGGCAGCCATGCTCACAAGAGGGACAGAGGAAGACAGGCTCGAGGAGGAGCCCCTGAGGGGCCGAGAGGTGGAAGAACGTTTCAAGAAGGCAGTGGCCAACCCCGACAGGCCCGAGGGAGGCCAGGGGTAGCAAGCGCCACGAGCACGTGCCGTGGGCAGGCACCACCCTCTGTGGTGAGGTTGTTCCAGACACCCTCTGGGGGGTCCTGCCTGTGACCCCGCTCTAGGGATGAGGAGGCTGGGGCCGGGGAGCTTCCTGCCGTGCCACACTCACAGGTGGCCAGTGGCAAAGCTGGGACTGGAAGCCAGCTCTGTGCAGTTCCAGTGCCTAAAGCACAGGGGCTAAAAGTGGCTGCTGGCGTGGTCTTTGCAGAGGGGCTGCCCAGAAGTGATCGCGCCAGCCAGGGAGAGCAGCCTGGAAGGAGAGGAGGAGGGAGTGCAGAGAGGAGCTGGTTCTGAGCCACCCTCGAGCCACATTCACGTCGCGCCTCTTCAAGGTGCACGGCCCGGGGCCTGCCCCAGGAGTGTCTGCCCTGAGTCAGAGCCCTCGGGCCCCGGCCCGGGCTCTGCCACCAGTTCTCACCACGGCCTCCACTCCCTCCTCCAGGAAATCGTCCAGAAAGGGCATGCAGTCACAGAGGAGACCTTCAGTTACCTGCTCATGGGCTGCATCCAGGACAAGAAGACAGGTTTCCGATACGCCCTGCAGGTCTGTCCCTCACAGCTCTGCCTTCCTGCCTCTCATGCAGTCCCCCTTCTCCTGTGCACCTGTATCGGGCACAAATGATGATCACATGTGCATTTGAGCTCCTGCGACTGCCCCATGCTGGGTGTTTTTACGTTTGCAATATTTTGGCCTTCGCAAAGCACACTGCTCCCCACCGTTTTACAGATGGCAGGGGGAGGAGGCCCGAGGAGGCCGCATGGCTGCCCTCCAAGTGAGGGCACAGCCAGCCCGTGCTCTTTCACTTGCTGAGTGGCCTTTTGGGCAGCTAGCTCATATCAGCAAAGCTTACAGTCTTGCCCAGAGTGCTTGTTCAGCCCACCTCCCACAGGCCCCCACTCAGCATTTCTGCATGTAGTCCTGAGAGATTCTCACAGACATCAGGGTTGAGATACACTGCTCTGATTCTACCTTAGATCCCCAGAGAGAACCTCCCCCACCCCCAGTCCAGTGGTAGCAATGGTACCACAGGTGGGAATGACCCAGAGCTCACCTAGAGCCCTCCAGCTTAAGGTGGGGCCTGCAGACCGGCAGCATCAGCCTCACCTGGGAGCTTGTCAGAAAAGCAGGGTCTCAGCCCCACCGTGGGCCTACTGTGTCCAGATCGGCATATCAGCAAGCTCCCTAGGTGGCTTCTCACCATGGCCTCCCTATGTGGAGGCTGAGCCCCAGGGACCTGGGACAGCCCTGGACCAGATGCTTGCCTTCCCTCTGGAAGCAGTAGCTTTCTAGTGAAAATCAGCCAAGATCTAGTTCCTCCCTTTCTTTGTTCTAGATCTGTTCTAGTTAGAAACGGTCTGTAGTGCTAATAGCTGGTTTGTGTTGTGCATTTATTAAACTGCTCAAGCTAGGTACCATCAGCCCCATTTTACGGATAAGGAAAGTGAGTCTGACAGAGGTTAAGTAACTGGCTTAAGGTCTCACGGCTATGAAGCAGAGCTGGGATTTGAACCGAGGTCCATCCCAACTCCTAGAGCCCGAATCCCTGCTAAACCTCAGTTCTGTCAATGCTTCCCCATGGAGGTGCCTGCTGAGACCCTTGCCCTCCTTAAGACCCTCTCAGGTGTGCAGCGGACCTCTTGCAGGCCGTCCGCACCTGGGCCTGAACGGTCCCTGCCTTGTCTGTACACTTATCCCTGATGAGGACAGGAAGTCAGATGTGAGCTCTCGTCCCACTGAATGTGGCCATTCTTTGAGCCTGCAGACAAAGAATCCAGTGTGACCAGTGAGCCCTGTGTGGCATTTTAGGAATGGCGTGGTCTGGGTGTCAGAGTGACCCAGACATGACCAGAGCGGTCCTTTGTGGAGAACACACTGAGTGTGCTAGGCGCTGTGCTGTGGGATGAAAATGATCTCATCTCAAGAGGAGATAGGGCTGCCTGGATCCCCAGCTTGGGAGGCGCTCTTCCTGGCTGAGCCCCCTTCCACCGTGCCCGCCCTGTGCTCTCATACTTCCTGGAGGCTGCATGGGACAGGGCACACAGTGGGCACTCGAAGTGCCGCTAAATCCATTTCTTAAGTCAGCCTAGACTCTTCCAGAACCTAGCCTCTGAGATCGTCCCTCCCCAGAGAAGTACAGAGAAGGTGGGCAGAGACCCAGGGCAAAGTCTGTTCCCAGTACAGGGGCCCTGGGAGGAGGCAGAGAGGTGAAAGTGGAGAACAGTTTTGGGGTGAGCTAGAGAGAGGAAAGGAGTAGCGCCCCCATGAAGTCTCCGCGAGTCCTCAGATTCTTAGGATTCTTAGTTGTCTAGAGCCTGGCATCGGGTTAGGTGCTCTCCAGCTCCTTCCTGGCCCCTTGCACTTGCTGAATGGTTGTTGACTGCTCGCGTCAGCTCACTGACAGCTCTTCTGAGAAGGAGCACAGAGCTGAGCTTGTCTCTGCCGGCAGGTGTGGAGGCAGATGCTGAGTCTGGGGCTCCAGCCGAGCCAGCATGGCTACAACCTGCTCCTGGGGGCAGCTCGAGACTGCGGCTTGGGGGACCCGGAGGTGGCCTCAGCACTGCTCCTGAGGCCCAGGGAGGAGACGGTCACGCTCCAGCCCCTGGCACGTGAGTTTTGGGCAAAGAGGAGAGCCCGGGCCCGGCTGGGTGATGGCATGTCAGTTAAGCTGCACGTGGAGGCCCTGGAGAGGCAGCTGTTTCTGGAACCTTCTCAGGTGCTTGAGGGCCTTCCAGAGCCTCACAAAGCCAGAGCCCCCAGCAAGGCCCAGCCTGAGGTGGAAACTAAGACGGAGCCTGACCGCATGGTGGCCCTCACTTCCTTGGCCCCAGAACCTTCTCGCTGGGGGCTGGAGGCCAACCTCCTGACCTTGGGAGCAGTCCCCCCAGCTGTGGTCTCCTTTGGGACTGTGACCACCCCAGCCGACAGGCTGGCTTTGATGGGGGGCCTAGAGGGCTTCTTGGGTAAGATGGCAGAGCATGGGCTCCGGCCCAACATCAAAACCCTCACGCTGCTGGCTGAGGTGGTGGAGCCCGGGAGTCCCGCAGAGTCCTCACTGCTGACCGTCCTGGACACGTACCAGGTGGAAGCTGACATGACGTTCTTCAACACACTGATGAGGAAGAAGAGCAAGCTTGGCGATCTGGAGGGGGCGAAGGTGAGGGGCTCGGAGGCGGGCACGAGGTTCAAGGCTGGGGCCCCTCCTTCCCGTTCCCTCTCACCTTCCGACAGCAGGACCTGGCTCCCCTGCAGGGGGCGTCACCTGATCCTGAGGTAGGTGGGCAGACTGACTAGAGCTTCCGTTCTGGGCCTGGGCTTGGGCCAAGCTGAGAATGGAGGGGTGACCGGCTGGCCGCCCTGCCCATCCCCATTGAGGAGCTCATAGGTGGGTGTAGGCAGACGTCCTCACGCTGCCCGAGGGGCACGTGGCCTAAGAGCCTGGTGGCTGCTGAGTGTCCCCACACTTCGGCCACACCCCCCGACCCACACACACTGATCCAGCCGTCTGTGTTAGATGCTGTTCGAAGAGCTCCCCATCCGTTCCTCTCTTCGCTGACCACACCACAGGGCTCTGCCAGTACGAGGCTTCCCCCGTTGCACAGATGGGGACACCAGAGCCCTCGTGCGATTTTGTCCACGTGTCTGTGTGACAGAGCACTGACCCGGGCTCTTGTGGGCATCAAAGGTGACAGGGACGCAGCCTCTGCCTTCAGGCCCTCAGTGCAGAGCACGCCGCCCTCTAGACAAGCTGAACAGGACAGGGCCCCTCCCTGAGCCGGCTGGGCTGCGAGGGCGTCCTCTTCCTCAGCCGCCGGCCCCCGCAGCCTCAGCTTCACTTCCCACACTGTTGTCGTCCCGCCCTGGACTGTGGGGCCAGGGCCCTCGGAGACCACTGGTGCTCACCTGATGTTGAAGGCCTGAGTGCTGGGATGGACGGCCAGCAGAGGAGCAGAGAGGCATGGGAGTACGCAGGGCTTCGGGGAGGGGGGCAGGGCGCGGTGGAGACGGGCCGGAAGGCCGGGGCTCCTCGCAGAGCCGCCCAACTCCGGGGAGCTGGGTGCTTGCGAGCCGGGCTGAGACCCACACCCAGTGTGGTCACAGAGGGAGCGGGGAGGCCTCTGAGCAGAGCTGTGCCCCTGAGGTCTCCAGCCAGCCACGGGCTTCAGCTGAGAAGGCTCCTGCCAGGCCTGGTGGGTCACAGCTTACGGTAGTGCCGTCCCCGTCCCCACAGGCGCTGCTGCCACTCCTGGCAGAAAGGGGCCTCACCCCCAACCTGCAGACCTTCTGTGGCCTGGCCACTGGGTGCCACAGGCCAGCAGACGGTCTGCAGCTGCTTGCGGACATGAAGGTGAGTGGGTCCAGGCCTGGTGGGCGGACCCATGGTGCTAACTTGGGGTGTTCGGGGAGAGAGCTGGGCCCTCCTGAACCCCCAGGCCTCTGCACCCGGACAGCACAGTGTGCATGGGGGCAGGGAGAGTGCGGTCGCTCTAGCTTGAGAGAAAGTGGACCCTGGTGATTTGCTGCAGGAACTGGCTTTGAAAACGTTAGAGTCTTGAAGGTGGTTACAGTGGGGAGAGATGGGGGGGTGGCAACAGGTCTTGGCCCCAACTCCGGAGGTAAGGGAGGCATGACAAGAGCAGGGATGTATCCGAATTCCGGGGGCAGGGGTTGCAGTAAACCCGCAACCAGGAGCCAAGGAGGTGGTCTCCTGTGCGTGGTTTACTGCCTGAGGCCATCGATCTCTGAGCGAGCTCTTCAGGCGGGGGAAGGTAGGCTGGGTGGGATGGACCGACAGTGCGGGGCACACGTGCTTTCCTTTGGAGCGGGGCATACAGCCCGTCGTTGGCACCAGGTTCGGACCGTCTTGGCCTGGTGGCTGGTCGGCCTAATGGCCATCTGACACGCACAATGGGCTGCTTTGTCCCAACGACTGCCATCACCTCGCTGATCGAATGTCTGTGATGTTCCAGAAATCCCACGTGACCCCCAACACCCACATCTACAGCACCCTCATCAACGCGGCCCTCAAGAAGCTGGACTACACCTATCTCATTAACATCCTGAAGCACATGAGGTGCAGCAGTGTCCCGGTGAACGAGGTGGTCATCCGCCAGCTGGAGTTTGCAGCCCAGTACCCGCCCTCCTTTGACCGGGTGTGTGCGCCAACCTCTCACTCGCCTGTCCTCTCTTTAACCATCCCGCCTCCCCGCGCCCCCACTCTGGGTCTGGCCTTCGGAACTGGAATTCCCTTGCGTTAAACTGTCAGTGGCTTCCCTTAGGAAAAATCCCAAATTCCTTAAACCACAGCCCATGAGTCCTTGTGGCCCACTTCATCTCTGGCCGCTCTTCCCTGGATTCAGTCAGTCCCACTGGCTTTCCGCCTCCTTCCCTTCTCGGGGTTTTTGTATTCCTTCTGCCTTGAGTAGGTTCCCCCTGTGCTTCCTGTAACTGGCTCCTCACCCTGTGGGTCTCATCGCCGACGGCTCTTTCTCAGGGGTGCCCTGCTGCTCCCTCCTGCCCACCACGTCCAGCCCTGTTGCTTGTCACTGTGTTTCACAACCTGTGATTACGCCTGCACAGGTGACTGTCACCTTCACAAAACCATAAGCCCCGCTCACCTGGCTCCCCAGTACCTGCCCATTGCCTGGTGCCCGATATAGACTGTTATTTGTCCAGTGAACGGGGATGGCAGCCGGGCTGCGACAGAATCTGCTTTGTAATGTCCACTTCTCTCTCTGCTGTACTGAGGATAGCAGGTTGTGGGGGTTCGGATTCAGGGCCCACGGGAGTCAGACCCCATGTTGAGTGCCTCCAGAGCAGTTGTGGCCTGGAGGAGCACCATCCCAGTGGGGAGGGAGGGAGACGGGCAGGGACACACCAGGCATGGGGTCAGGGACCGCTGTGCAGGCGCAACACTTGAGGGCCATTTTGAGGGCTCAGTAAGAATCCGGGAGACAGCAGTAGAGCGTATGCCAGGCAGAGGGCATAACTGGGCATCTGTGGACAGTTGGCTGTTAGTCTTGTCTGATTCTCCAGAGTTCTTTATGTGTTCTGGATACTCCTCTCTTGTCCCACGTTGCAGGTATTTCCAGGTAGTGAATTTGTCTCTCTACTCCGTGGTGTACAGTCCTCAAGGGATCTTCTCAGGTTCAGTCCAGATACCAGACTACCACAGGCCTGGATCTTACTGGATTAAATCACATTCCTAGTCCCTTACGACCGTGTCTTATTCTGTCTGTGCCTGTCAAGATTTGTTTTCTGTACTTTCAGGCTGGATTAGGTACCTACAAGTTTGGAATTGTTAAATCTTTGGAAGCCAGCTGTGTGTCATCGTTATCTTCGAATATATATTTTTGGCTGGTTTTTTTCCTACGTTATTTCTTTACCAGCTTTCTTTTGGCATCTGCCGGGCGCATCTTGTTTCCTCCCTTTCCTTCCCCTTCTCCAGAGACACTGCAGCAGTGCTGAGAGGACACAGGGGAGGCTCTCAGGCTGTGGGGGCAGAGGTAGCACCCAGGGATTCTAGCTTGGGGGGCGGGGGGGGCTGTCCCTGGGTGTAACACAGCAGCACAAACTTCGAGGGACTGTTAGCAGATGGGAAGCTGGCCTGCCCCACAGCAGCTGTGTTTCTCGACAGTAAGCAACTCGAGTATCGAACAGTTTTCCCGCCCTCTTCCCTTAAGCACCTAGAAGCAAGAACAGCTTCCCTGAGGCCTGAGCCAGCGGCCATGGTCTGGCATGAGCCGTGTGTAGCGTGCGGTGCCTAACGGCTCCTCTGACCCCGTGCTTTTCCACTTACAGTACAAAGAGAAAAACACCTACTTGGAGAAGATTGATGGCTTCCGAGCTTATTATAAGCAGTGGCTGAAAGTGATGCCAGCGGAGGAAACCCCCCACCCGTGGCAGAAGTTCCGGACCAAGCACCAGGGGGACCGAGACCCCATCACAGAGGCGGATGTGGACGGAGGCCTCGGAGGCAGGTGATGGGAGGCGCTGGGGGCCGCGAGCAGAGCTGGGACAAAGGGCAGTGTTTCCAGAGCTCTGCGGGAGCCCAGGGGCCACTCCGCATCGGGCCTGTGCATGTGCTCGTGTGGCCTCAACCCCAAGGAAGGGTCCGACCCAGAGGGAGGGAAGTAGCGTTTTGCAGGCATTGGCATGAGGACAAACACTGGGTCCAGGATGCCTGACAAGTTCGTGGCAGGTCCAGGAGCAGCCTGACCCACCTTGGCACGCCATCTCTGGTCATCCTTGTCTGGGAGGTGGTCGTCCCCATCCCGGATGAGGAAAGTGAACTTGCTCAGTCACACAGCACCTACAAGGTGGAGTCAGGACGGAGGCCCAAGGGCGACCGGTTTCTAGGGCCTGGCACTCGCCCACTGGGGTCCACAGTCCGCTGGCTCTCAGAAAGAATGAATGCAGGACCCAGAAGGTTTAAAAATTTTATTCCTACAAATCACAGCTGAGAAACACCAAAGCCTTTACATATAGAGACCATGCTCCAACTCAGGCCGGGAGCACTGCTCCGCGAGAAGAGCTGCTCCCAGGAAAGGGGGTGGCGCGACAGGCAGAAACCCGTAAGTCCCAAGTTCAGGGTGAAGACGGGTCAGGTCCTCAGGGCCTCAGCCGGAGCAGCCCCGGCAGCCGCAGTGTGTGCACTCGATGATCCGGCCCTGCAACAGAGGACAGCTGAGATGCTGCGCTCCTGCCACACCCCCCTCGTCCCCCGCAACGGGGGGGGGGGGCAACTGGACATTCACTGTCTACAGGACGCTCCTCAGAAAATCTTCGTGACAGATACAATCATGCTGCTGACACTGAAGCTATACCTCTGTGTGCTGAATTTATGCACACTGTACGTACTTGACCCCCAAAAAGTAAAAAAAAATCTGTGAATGATTCTTGTTTCCTGAATTGAGCATGACCTACCCTGCAGTCAGCTGGAAGTGGGTCTGCTACTGCTCAGGGGGCTCAGGGGGCTCAGGGCCTCTGGGCTGGGGAACATTCTAGTGGGGGCACAGGGGCAGAGGATGTGCACCGGAATCTGAATGGCAGCAGAAGGGTCTTGTCTCTTGGGCCAGGTGTGCCCGGATGTCTGGCTGAGGGCCTGCCCAACAGACAGAAGGCCCTACAGCAGTGGTCTGTGTATACTTTCCTTTATTCTCTTTTTTGGAGGAGTAAGACCCTTACCTAAACGAACAAGATTAGATGGTGAAACTCAACTAAATCAAAAACAGGATCTACTCTGGCCACAGGGCTGGGGCAGTACCCCCAACCAAATGCCACCACAGAATCTGGGGGGGGTGCGGTGGCTTCCGCCATTCCACCACCTCTCCATGCCATCAGAAAACTGGCACCCAGATTCTTCCCTTAAGGAAGAATTTGATGTCCTTGGGCCCTCATTCGATGTCCACTGCTCCCTGACTTTACAGATGATTCAGGGAGACAGAGCTGCCTGCTGAGCTAAAGCCCTTGGTCCAGAGTTTTATAAACCAGAACTGGTCTGCAACATCAAGGGACTGGTGATGAGGCACCTGTGTGACAGGTGGCCCCCTGGGAGGTGGGCAGTCTGGCCTGCCCGCCCAGCTGGGCCCACCATGGTCAGCCAAGGGGCCGCACTCAAAGGCGACCATGGCCTATGTCCCAGGAACCACCTCCCTCCCTCTGCAGTTCCATTTCAGAGAGGCTGACACTGTCAGCTCAGCAACTGCATGTGCAGCACTGTTCCTGAGCTGCCCAGTGAGTTTTAGAACAAAGTTCTGACAGAAGAAATACAACGGAACACATCTGAGGAGAAGGCCTGGAGAAAAGGGTACCTGGGGTGAGCATGCTCCCCTGACTCAGCCCTCCCCACCACCTTGGGGGTGGGTGTTCTCACCCCCACTTCCTATGTGGGGAAGGAATTCAATAACTTGCCCAAGGGTGCAGTTGGCCCCCAGACCTAACACACGACTGTTGCCACACTGCCCAGCATGGACTGCTCAGGAGAGGGACTCACTCCCTGGGGCATGGCCAGCAGGACAGTCAGCAAAATCATGTTCGATCCCTTGCGGTCAACTAGGGCGGACTTCCGAACTGAAAAAGTGACCTCAAACTCGATCATCAGACATTACAGGGGTAGAGATGTTACCACTTCCAGCTTGCTTTTGGGGACCCGGCAAATGCAGTTTGTTCCAAAATTGGTGTCCCGTGTCTGAATGCAGCGCAGGCAGCATAAGTTCTCATAGCCCTGCTTTTTCCACTTTGCTATCAGATTTTTATCTGCATAGCCTTCTTTAATACAGTATTCATATAGTTCTGTCAAAAAGAAGGGAAAGGGCATCAGACCATGGTATCACAAAGCTTCCCCAGCCCCGGCCCATCACTACTCTTCACTAGAAAGAATATTTAGCCAACGCCGACCCCTCCCCGCTTTTTTTTTTTTTTACCAGTAAGAAAACTTGACACTTGCTGAGGTTGCAAGAACAAGAACCATGAAATAAATGTGAAAGCTACTCAAGTTGGGGAGGCCGAGAGAATTTAGTTCATTACCTCTGCTTATGGCTTTCCTCTTGTAAAAGAGGTCAAAAATATACCGGGTTTTTTGGTGGTGGATCCTGAAGATAGGCCACAGAGATTCCACTTTCCTCTTTCCCTCATGAGGTTCTGTTTCAGCTGCAGAGAAAAAGGTGTCTTTGTTTTCTTGTGGCAGGTAGTGTTCATTGCACAGGATGCAGTGTTGTTGTTTTTTTTTAATTTTTATTTTTTTAAAGATTTTATTTATTTGACACAGAAAGACACAGTGAGAGAGGGAACACCAAGCAGGGGGAGCGGGAGAGGGAGAAGCAGGCTCCCCGCAGAGCAGGGAGCCCGATGTGGGGCTCCATCCCAGGACCCTGGGATCATGACCTGAGCCGAAGGTAGACGCTTAACAACTGAGCCACCCAGGCACCCCCCTTTTTTTTAATAACCAGGAATAAAGAATAAATCCTACTTCATACCCTCTAGGTTGGCTATCATCAAAAAGACCATCACAAGTGTTGAGGATGTAGGAAAATTGGATCACAGGCCGCTGGTGGAAGTGTAACATGGTGCAGCCTCTCTGGAGAATAGGCTCTTGACTTTAGAGATGGCTCTTCCCCAGGAAGTTAAAGTTACCATAAGCCCTAGCGGTTCTCCTGCTGGGTATATAGCCCAGAGAACTGAAAACACACATGCCCACAAAAACTCTCATGAATGTGCAAGCAGCAGTATTCACAACAGCCAAGAAGTAGAAACAATCCTGGTATCCATCAGCTGATGAATAGATCAACAAAACCTACCCACACCATGAAGAATCATTTAGCCAGAACAAGAAATGACCTGCTACAACACGGATGAACCTTGAAAACATGATGCCAAGTGAAAGAAACTAGTCCCCAAAGCCCCCCTACTAGATGATGATGTACAGAGAAAGTAGACGAGTGGTTGCTCAAACTGGGAGAGCTGGGGAGAAGGGGGTAACTACCAAAGGGTGCAGGGTTTCTTCAGGAGGTAAGGGTTGCCCAACTCCGAATACACTGAACACTGTATAAGGGCAAATTTTACAAAATAGGACTTCAACCTCAATAGAGCTGTTATTTTAAAAGATAAAAAAATAAGCCACATGACTTAAACAGGATTGTTTCAAGTGGCAAGTCTCTTTCTGTTAGCAGTTACAAGTTGATCCTTGTCTACCACCTCCACTCAGTTTTTAGAGCAGAGGAGAAAGATAAGGAGTGGTCAAGAAAACTGTACCTCCATTTCTCAAACTTTGGGGCCATGCTATTACTTAAGATGTAGAGTTCAGCTCCACACACAGGATTCTGTGATCCGAGCAAAAGGCAGGTGTTGCGGACTGAGCAAGTGGACACCGTGCCTGCTGCGGCCGAGGCCCTGCTCTGGGTGCTGAAGACACAGCAGTGGGGCAGGCAGAGCAGCTCTGGGGTGGCATTCCCGGGGAGGGAGGCGGATCGGCACGCGGGGCTAAGTGGTAAAGGCCACAAAAAAGAAGAGAAAACAGAAGGGGAAGTGGGGACTGACATTTTATACAGGTGATCAAAGAAGGCACAAAGGGACATCTGATCAGAGTCCTCAAGAAACAAGGGGGGTGCTGGGTGAAATGGGGGAAGGGGGTCACAGGTGCAAGCTTCCAGTTATAAATAAATCCTGGAGAATGGTGACTACAATTTACAATACTGTATTGTGTATTTATAAGTTGCTAAAAGAGAGAGACCTTAAAAGTTCTCACAAGAAAAAGAAAAAACTGTGAGGTAATGGATCTTAAATTATTGTCAATCATTTCATAATATATACATACATCAAATCACATAGAGCTAAAACATAAAATGTTTTATGTCAGTTAGATCTCAATTAAAAAGGTGGCGGGCAAACATGCTTATAAGGCATCTGGAAGCAGAGCCTTCCTCCCTGTGCTTTTGTCATTTCTCAATCTTTTAATCAAAGCAGCGCTCCCATTTTTAAAAAATCCCTTTTGGACCCATTTTCACAAGACCATGTGAACATTCTTGGACGTTGTTTTATACAGGTTCACACACAAAGTGGAAAGCGCCTTTCAGTGGGTGATGTGGAGTCCTGCCCCAGTGAGTGTAGGAAGAGAGGCCAGAGATATGGGCATCACAGCATAGACTAGATCTAGATTCCTGCCACTTGGTGAATGCCAAAAACTTTGAAAGAAATGTTCGATTAACTTCAAAACCTCAGCAACAATTCTTTTAAAATGTTAATTCTTTAAAAAACTAAATGTCCGTTATTTGTTTATGCTTGATTTTCAAATAGTTTAAAATCCTTACAAAAGCAGTTATTTAGGGGTGCTGGGGTGGCTTAGTCGGTTGAGTGTCCCACTCTTGATTTCGGCTCAGGTCATGATCTCAGGGTTGTGAGATGGAGCCATGTATCGGGCTCTGTGCTGGATGTGGAACTTGCTTAAGATTCTCTCTCCCCTGCCATGACCCCCCAGGCCCCGCACTCTCTCTCTCTCTCAAAACATTAAAAAAAAAAAAAGCAATTGAGTAAGGGATCATACTGAGATCCTATAAGGCCAACAGATGCTCGTGGCTTCAGGTAAGATTTCTAAAAAGACACTACACTGATTAATCAAGTTCAAGATCATACAGCATTTTGAGGAAACTGAACATGGTACATTCTGGAAAACTAGCAGATAATGCAAAAACAAAGTGGTGAAAACCGTGTCAGAGACCAGCAAGAAAAGTCTGGATAAAACTCTTAACGGAAAATGTGAACATGAAAAAGGACAGGATTTTCCAAGTAAACATTTTGTAAGACTCTAAATAGGTACTTAACCAGAACAGTAAGTAATTAGAGGTAGACTATCCAATCTTTATTCTCTAAGACTTTTATATCAAAGTTGGCCCCAAAATGTCTTTGAGGACCTTTTCATTAGTGCCATCTTATTTTCCAGAACTCCTAATATTCTGAGTTAATAAGCAAACAAAACAGGTCAGTGTCTGGAGGCCACAGTGGGGCTGTCTATGCCCATGTGATACCCGCATTTCTGCCTGGCCCCTGGAGACATCGAAGCCTGTGACTCTTAGACACAGCTCACCCAGTTAGAAACTCCCCCACTTACTTACCTTCTCTCATCTTTTGATCCAATTCATCCAGTGTTGGTTCGATCAACTCCCAACCATCTGGGGGAGCTTTCCGGCTCCTTTTCACTTTGGGCATTTTTTCTACAAGATAATTTGCAAAGATCTGGAGAAGGGGGAGAAATTAAATGGATTGGTTTCTGAACCTGAGCTCCCCAAAGGCCTTCACCAGCTACCCTTTTGGTGCACATTCCCTTCCCTAAATTTGTTTCCTCATCTGTAAAATGGGAACACTAGAATCTAGAAGATTTCATTATAATTACATGGAACATGCCTGCATTAAATGTGTTTAGTAGATTTTTCCCGTTATCCTTAACATCACCTATGAGCCTGGCCCTGTACTGGATGTTGGGAACAAAGAACAAGCAGTAAGACACAACTTCTGTCATCGGGAAGGTGACATTCTAGCAAGGAAACAGTGAGAAGGTAATTACAATACAGTGTGAGAAGGCCTGTAGTTGGGAGAGCTGAGAAAACGAGGGTTTAAAAGGGAAAAAGATGGTATAGAGCCAAAGCACCTTACCGTCTGCGTCCCAAGAAGTGTAACAGAAAGACCTCTGGTCTCTTCAGTTACAGGCTTAGGTTCTTGTCCAACTCTACCAATTACTCTGTGACTTTTGGGAGGTCACCTTCCCCTTCAGGTCCTCAGTCTTGTCTGTAAAATGAGGGCAGTGAATTAGCTGGACTGCAAAGAGTCTCTGAAACCCAACAAAGACATTACATAAAGGCAAAGTCATTATAAAGCCTGTACAATAGGCCAGTACAAATCCAGAGAAAACATTTTTCAAGCCACGTAGCATTTCCTAGCTGGCAAAGAGGATTCCGGTTAATTATCTCCTATTTTGAAGCACAGCAGACTCCTCTCTCCCAAACTCAACCAGTCCCTCCCTTTTGTGGGGTGCCTGACAGTTTACAAAGTACCCCAGCACCGGGCGCGCGCGCACACACACCCCCAGGCTCCTTTTCATGAATTCTCCATTGGCGACCTTACAGGTGAGGAATGAAACTTCTAGAGGTAAAGTCCGGGTCACAACAGCTGAGAACTGGCAGAGTATGATTCTGATTGGGAGGCTCCTGATTCCCAAATCTGTGGTCTTTGCACGTGTCTCCCCTGCGCTGCAGCTACAGATGGCCAGAACCTGGACCCTACCCCAGCGCGCACGGGCCGAGAAGACAAAAATACGGGATGACCACTTTGCTATGAGTCAGGGAAATTCGAGAGCCCTGGTCCATGTGTTACCAGGGGAGGTAACAGGTAGGAGGCACCTGGATCAAGAGGTGGCAGCGCTCGGGAGAAGAAACGAGTGGAAAGGCGTTCGGAGCTTGGGAGGGACAACCTGAGGGTCGGGATAGTAGGAAAGGCTCCTAGAGACCACGGCATCTGAACCGGGCTTACAAGAACAAACAGTATTTAGACAGAAAACGTTCTCGGCAGAGAAAAGAGAGGGAGGAGGGGGTGCCTAGAAACAAGAAAATCCCCAAATCTCCTATTCTCTGGGCAGAACGAGCGAGGCGCCACCTCCTCTCGGGAACTCACTCTGACCTCCCGCTCCAGAGGCCCGAACCCATCCCTGTCCAGCCGCTCCGATCGCTTCTGGGCCAGTGCAGACCTCCGATTCCTGGTCCTAGCCGTTACCAAAGTACTGGAGAATACAGAAAAGGGCTCACCTGAAAACCCGTCACCGTCAGCCGCCGCTTCTCTCCCGACGGCTTCCGCTTCCCAGGTGATAGCTTCCGGCTGGGGTCCTCGCGGAGCCCCTCCCTACCTCGCGCGGAGATTGCGTCACCTTAGGTGTCCGCAGTTTTGCCTGTATATAATTTTACAGCCGCTGTTGCCTTTTGCCCTCAAATTCCGCGGGGAGACCGGCAGGCTCACGCGTCTCCCCGGGGCGGGGGGGCCGGAGGCACTGTTGCCGGGGTAGCGTGCAGGCGAGCTTAGACTCAGGCGACGCGCGGGACAGTCTCCGTGCGCCGGCTTCCCTGAGGTCCCCGGCCCTCGCGGCGGCGGCGGCGGAGCGCTGAGGAAAACTGAGCCGGTCGGAAGAAGTCGAGCCCGAGGTGTTTCCGGTTCCGGTGTCAGTTCGAGGCGCCGCCGCCGCCGCCGCCGCCGCCGCTGGAGCCGCGATGCCTAAAGGAGGTGAGGGGCGAACGCGCGTGGCCCGCGGGCCTCGAGGGGCTGCCCGAGTCCGGCAGCCGCTGTTCATTCAGCCCGCGGGCGTCTCGGAGAGTGGCGCAGAGGGAGGGCGTCCGCGCCGGCTGAGGGCCAGGTGTGGGCCTCGACGCCCAATTGTCCGAATGGAGAAACTGAGGACCGGAGTGGCCACGAGCCCCTCCTTCGTGGGTCTGGGGAGACTCCGAGGCTCCGGGTCTTCGCCGACACGGAAGGCCGGATCTAGGGCGCACTGCTCCTGGCCTGGGGGAGCGGGAGTTTCCTCCCGCTTCTAGCCGGGGACTGAGTCACCGCGTCCCGCGCCTGTGCCGGGCCCTCTGCCTTGCGCGCAAAACGTGGGCCCTCTCGAGCTCTGGGCGAGCTGGGCCTGCCGAATGAGACCTAACTTGATGCTCTCGAGCCTGGCCGACTTGGCTTTGACCGCGCCTATTCGTCAGCGGCTCCATGTGTGCTTTTGAGCCAGTTGCTTCATCTCTCTGTGTTTGGGTTTTCTCATTTGCAAACCGGGCTTATGATTGTACCTACCTCATAGTACAGGTGGGAGGCTTAAACTGGGTAATCCACGTGGAGGGCGCATCACAGTTAAGCGCCCATTAAGCATTATTTGCAGGGTTTTGTCAGTTTCTTGGCCAAGAAAATAGAGGATCCACGGTAGACCAGTCCTTCATTGTCTTTTCCCTAAGAGTCAGAAGTTCTGGAAGTCTAGCTGTGTCACTTGGAAGAAATCACTTAATTCCAGCCTGTTTTTCTCATCTGGAGCACCTGGCTAATAACCCTTAGCTTGGAGAGCTGGAGGTAGAGGTCGTAACAAAATAGAGCACTCAAAGTGCCCGGCGAACTCCTGGCACAGAACAGATGTTCGGTTAATAGCGGTAGCTCATGTGTCATGTTGGTTAAGATGCTTCAGCCCACAGGAAATCTACTTGGAGTTCTTTCAAACCTAAATGACTTCCTGATTTTACTTGCAGAGATATTGGGGGTTACAGAGCCGAATCCATTCAAACCTACCTCCCTACCGATTTCATCTGTGGTAGGAAGAGCCCTGTCTCTTCCATTTTTCTCAGTCTTGTGTTCTGCAAAAGGAGGGTGCTAATTGAACCCTTTCGGTTCCAGAATTCTGGCTCTAAGGGTCCTATTTCATAGATACTTTGAGCCAAGGTTGGAGGTTAGAATTAGAAAATCCTAAATATCTTGGTTAAGTGACTTGATCTTTGGCTTGTGAAAAGCTTCATGGGCAGATACGATTTACATTTCTTGCTTGTGTTGATTTGCTTGAAAAGCAAAACAAAAGACTTCTTTTATTTTAAAGTATAAAGTTCTCTGAGAGAAAAGGATGCCCTCTTGTTTCCGCTGTATAAATGTGAAACACTTTTAAAGGCAGGAGCAGTTTTTGATAAAAGTTATGGTAGGCCAAGCTAAGGTCAGTCTCCCCTAGCCAGGTGTGCTGGATGAGAGCCTATAGTAGCCAGTTTTGAGTTTTGACTACTGCCTGGAATCTTAAGAGGGCAAGAAAGGGTGTTGGTTTTTGTTTTTGTTTTTTTTTAAGCGGCAGGCTTGATCTCTCAAAATAGGACTTTCATGAGCATAGACTGAGACACCCCTGGGAACCCAGGTAGTCATTAAAAATGGGTGGTGTGGTCTGTAGCAGCCCAATTACAGCTTTGCAGCTGCTGTCTAGGAAATAAGAGGAGGTTGGTTTCTCTGCTCCTGGCTCTGGAGTCCAGAGGAGCCCTGGCCGTCTAATTACAGATTCTCTACCCTCAGTGAGACACTCTGGAAGTCAGCTGGGCCGAAGCTTCCAGAAGAGGTGGGGATGGATTGAGGCCACAACCCCCAGCATCCTCCAGGACCAGCAGAGCAGGTGCCATCCTGCTATAAAACTGGCTGATGGCTTTCGCAGGGGTCAGTCTTTTGTCTTCGCTCAAGAGGGTCAGACTGTAAAACTGATACTCTTAGATGAGCTTTAATTTACAGTCACATTTTTAACTGTTAGAAGGTAGTCGGCTTCATTCTCAGCTTTAACTTTGCCGGCTATGCTGCTTACTCCAAGCAGAAGAAAGTTTTCAGTAGGTTTTAGGTTTTTTCTTTCTACCATACCACTTAGGTGAACGTGAAGTATTTTATTATATCTCTGACATTTACAGTAAATCACTGATGTGGTCAGTGGCTTTGTTTTTTTCCTCCTGCCAAAATACTCTATTAGAAAAATAACAAATGTAGCGTATGTTTCTGTAGTGCTTATTCAATGCCAGGCACCGTTCCAAGAGCTTTACACATGTTAAGTTCGTTCGCCTGAAAACTCTAGGAGATAAGAACACAGATGGAGAAACGGAGACTCAGAGGTTAAGTACCTGCCAAAAGCTAGCAAGTGGTAGAGCTGAGATTTGAATCTTAAGTGTCTTGTCCGCAGAGCAGGACCAGCTGTGACTCCTCATAGGTTTATTCTGAGGATCAGATGAGTGGATGACTGTGACAGAACATTTAAAAACCACTGTAGTCACAGCAGGATGTGAGTGTTACATGTTCTGACTGCATTTGGGTGCACTGTGTGTGGTTTCTAAGGGACCGTGGGATTTGGCCAGTTACTGTGTGTGCTGTGCCCTCCCCCATATCCTCCCCTTGGGTCTCATTTGTAGGAAGCTACATGCAGCACACAGTTGGGGCTGCCTCAGGTGGTCACATGTTGCTCCTTTGGTCCCTTTGAACATGTGAAGGTAGGAGAGTATAGGTTTGGGTGGTGCTGGGTGAGGGGTGGGGGAGGACTCTGCAGCCTCTGATGAGAGCACCTCAGGCAGGACACAGCCCCCTGGGGCTCAGGGCAATCAAGGAAGCCAATTCCCTCCCACCATCCTAAACTGCCAATCTTTGTGCAGGGAGAAAGGGAGGCCACAAAGGCCGGGCAAGGCAGTACACAAGCCCTGAGGAGATCGACGCACAGCTCCAGGCTGAGAAGCAGAAGGCCAGGGTGAGTACGTGCCTGTCCAGGCCACTGGAGTGGCCCAGGGTGGTTTCCTGCCTCTTTGGCATCCAGAGAGGCCAGGCAAAGACCACCTATTTCCTAGGAAGAAGCCAGCACCTGAGGTTCGGGGTGGGGGTGGGGCATGGACAGCAGGCAGGTGTCCCAGAATAACCGACAGTGAAGAGGAGAGCCATCTTTGATTGAATCAATTAGAACTTTGTTCTTTTAGCGGTGATTGCCTTAGTGGGTCTCTGTTCTTGGCCCTGTGTTCCTGCTTTCTGGGAGCTGTCCTTCCGCCAGGCTCAGCCCATCCGCGGCTCAAGCTCCCAGCAGTCCCCATTTGTTTGCTATAGCCATGCCAGACCTCTTGCCAGACCCAGCATGACATGATGCCCTGCCTTCCCACACCCCCAGCAGGCAAAGTACTGTTCGTTTTTCCAGGCCTTGCCAAACGTCATCTTCTCTGTGACTCTCACTGAAGCTGTTCACCTTTCGCCTCTAGTCTGAGCTTAGTAGTTCACTATACTCTGTTCCTGCAGTGTTTTTTCCAGCCTGTTGTCAGGAAATAGAATGTTTCCATCATCGTTGATGTCCACATCCCTGACTACACCATTAGATCTGCCCCTGGATAAGGGCCGAGAAGAGCATAGTCAGGCCCGATGAGTGACACAGCTGTGAAGTGCCTGGGAGCCCCTAGAAGGGAGGGGCCACATGTTCTGGGAGAGAGGGGAAGAGGGCCTGACGGAGGGGCGGGCAGCTAAACAGGACCTTGGAGAATGTGTGGGCAAGTGCTAAGGGGGAAGGACCTACTGTTTTTGTTAGGAATAGTTTTGGTGGGAAGCAAGAAAAGTGGAAGAAAGCGGCATGTTGGGTGTTGTCTTAGGAAGCCAATGCAGCAAGGCCTCTGCATGGGCAGGTTGGAGTGGCTGGCCTGCCATTAACTGTGGGAGTGGAAAGCAGAGGAGGACTGGCTCAGGATTTGGCAGCTGCGTGTGGCAGCTGGGGAAGCAGGAGGGGAGCTGCGCAGGACTGTGGTTTCCAGCCCCACAGCTGAGTTTTTCTGACCCTGGGAGATGAACTTCTCCCCCAGGTTGGACTGTGGGAATGGCTTTCAGGCTGTGGAGCCGAGTAGATAGGCTGCCTCTGACCCAGATCCCCTACTAGGAGCCAGGGTCTCAGAGTAGGACCCTTCTCCTACTTGGTCCCAGCCTTCTGGGGCTTAATTTCTCTGGGTCCACAGTCTGGAGGTGATGGGAGCAGGGGTCACAGTCTAGGGGGTTTGTGCATTTTTGATTTTGCAGGTTGTCCATTTCTGAAACAGGAAGAAGAGGAACAAGGAGAAGAAGGTGGAGATGGGGCTGCAGGTGACCCCAAAAAGGAGAAGAAATCCTTAGACTCAGATGAGAGTGAAGATGAAGACGACGATTACCAGGTACTCCGTTTGGTAGAGGCCTGGGACTTGGACTCATTCAGTCAGCAAACGTTGATCGAGTGCCTTTTGATTACCATTTCCAATGGTAGATGCGGACAGAGTCCTTGCTCAGAAGGAGTTATGTTCTAATAGGGAGTTACAATAAGGAAGTAAACGCACAGCATAATTTCAAGTAGTGGCAGGTATTATGAACAAGGTGGACTGTGATCATGAGGACGTGGCTTTCAAACTGAGATCTGAACAAAAGGGCTGGAGCCAGGTGTGTGAAAATAACCGTGCAGAGCAGTCCGGGCGGCTGGGTTAGCACACTCGGGGGCCCTGGGGTGGGAACAGGAGCAGCAGGAGGCTGCTGGGGCATGTGCCTTGGTGGATGCAGAGAGGAGTGGCTAGGGAGGAGAGAAGAGGGGTTCGCAAGGGCAGCTCCTGTGTGGCACTTGAAGGGGTTTGGGTTTCACTGTTGTGGGTGGGGGGCAGCTGGTGGAGGCCTTGAAGTGGGAGGGAGAGATGACCAGATTTGCTTTTGAAAGGTGGTTTTGGCTTCTCTGCAAAGAGTAAATCCTAGGGTGTTGAGGTTATAAGCAGGGAAATGGCAACAGGTCTCCAGACAAGAAACTGACTTGTGTTGGGATGGAGGCAGTGGCTGTGGAGACGAGTGGGCAGATTCACACCACGTTTTAAGAGATGGGCTCATTGGGGTTTGCCGAGGAGTGGCTGCAGGGGCTGAGGGAAGGAGGCATAAGGCTATGGCCTAAGGATGGTTGGAAGGAGCAGAGTGCGTGAGGCACGTTCACTTTGCGATGTCAGTGGAGGCGTTTACAGGTAGCTGGATTGGCTGTTGGTGTCTGGAGCTCTGTGTCAGATTCACTGCTGTTTGGAAGCTGTCTCCTTGGTCACTTAAAGAGAAAAGCTGGGCTCAACATGACATGAAACTTGGACCCAGCCTGTTACGTTGAGGACTTGTGCTCTTGCTGAACTTCCCCCAGGGGAGGTGGGAGGTGCAGCTTACTAGAACTGATTGTGATCTCGTGGCTCATTCTCAAGTCATTTCCGTCCCCTCAGCTGAGATGGCTGGGAGTTGGAATTGGTCCTGAGAACATCCTTGGCCCGGCCTGCCCCGGGGATCCAGCAGTGCTGTTGCCGTCATCTGTGAGATTCCATGGAAAACTGCTTGCAGGGGCCGGGCTTGCAGTGGGGGCATAGTGCTCTGTGTTGAGAGCTTGTGAGTTGGGCTTGGGTTCTCAGCTCACCTGCTGTCTACTTCCTGGTTGGCCTTAGGCAAGTTAGTTAGTCCTGTGTCTGTTCTTTCACCTCCGAAACAGAGAATAATCCCTGGTTGCTGGGACTCGGCATAGATTGGGCTCTAGTCGTGTGCATTCACCGTCCTTGTACCTCCCAGGCTGGTGAAGACTCTCCTGAGTGCTATTCCCACTGTGAGGCTCAGACCGAGCATCATGTTGGGCCGGGGGGTGGAGCAGGAGTTTGTCCCCGTCCAGGTGGGCTGTTGGGAGACGGTGGGAGTGGCCCTCAGGGGCTCTGCAGGACTAAACTTCTCCAACAGCCAGCTTCTTGTCCCATCTTAGCAAAAGCGCAAAGGCGTGGAGGGGCTCATCGACATCGAGAACCCTAACCGGGTGGCACAGACAACCAAAAAGGTCACACAATTGGACCTGGATGGGCCCAAGGAACTTTCAAGGAGAGAACGGTAATCACTGCTGCTGGGCTTGGGACCTGGGCATGTGGGCAGGGGGCTGGCCTGCGGGCCGGGGCAGAGTGGGGGCGTGGCTGAGGCGCTCAGATCCCCTGCCCTTGCCTCCTGGGCTCTGAGGTTCCCAGTGACTGGGTCGGGGCTCCAACTACAGCATTTATTTTTGTTTCATCTTATTCCCCAAAGGCTCTATAGAAGCTTCTCCAAAAACACAAAACAAAAATAATTTTTTTCTACCCAGCAGGGAAAAATAGAACAACAGATTCGGACCTGAGCGTTGCATTTGAAGTAATGCCCAAGGATACGGACGGTTATTCTATAGTCCCTTCCTTCAGGGCACCCCGTTCCAGGGACACTTCCCTTCTCCGGCCTGATCTGACCATTGCTGGCCTGCATTCTTCTGGTGTCACTGCCATGGGTTGTGGGAGAAGGCAGCACAGTGCAGAGAGGTGTACTGGCTGCCTGAGGGCTCCCCAAGTCCCAGGTGGAAATGGAGCTGCGGACAGCCTCCTCTGGGTTGTGTGAGGGTCTCAGTCCAGTACTGGAGTGCTCTGCACATGGCCATTGCTTGACAAGTAGTGCCCTGACTCTGGATGGCTGCCGGCTGATACCAGGGGCCTTACAAGAGGTTGAAGTTCTCTAGGGAAAACTGCCCTATTTTTTTTTTTTCCTTCCTGGGCTGCTAGGATTTTTTTTTTTAAAGAAGTTTAGTCTTTTTTTTTTTTTTAAGATTTTATTTATTTATTTGACAGAGAAAGACACAGCGAGAGAGGGAACACAAACGGGGAGTGGGAGAGGGAGAAGCAAACTCCCTGTCGAGCAGGGAGCCCGATGCGGGACTCGATCCCGGGACTCCAGGATCATGACCTGAGCCGAAGGCAGTCGCTTAACCAACTGAGCCACCCAGGCGCCCGCTGCTAGGATTTAAATCTGCCTTCCTGTGCTAACATGGCTGAGGGGTCTAGAAAACCCCACAGGGAAGGCTCATGAGCTCAGGGTGTGATTAGAGGCCGCTAAGGATTCTAGCCTTCTGGTAGTTTCCCTCTCAACAGTAAAAAGGGGATCCTGTTGTTACCCCTGCTTTTTGAGGTTGCAGAGTGAAAGCCATAAGGTCCAGCATCCTGCCTGGCACTTAGCCTTCACTGAGGGGGCTTTGCAGAGCCTTTGGGTAGCCTTGCTCATCATTCCGGATGCCTCCAGGGCATACACCCCTCTCCCCCCCCGGGTTTGGATCTCTCCTGCTTAGCTTAGAGGCTCCTGGCTCTGCACCTACCTCCCAGGGTAGGATCTGCTGAGCTGAGAGGTATGCTAGTCTCATCTCTGTAGCACGTTTCTTATCCAGAGTCTCCTGACTTTCGGTGGCTGGCCTTCTCTCCTTCTGTCGGGCCTGTCCCCATGTTTTGTTTCTTATTACTCAGTGCTGTGTGCTGTGAAGACCTCCGGGAGGCCAGGTCCTTCCCCCAGGCTCCTGCTAGGCAGGGCTTCCCTGCCCCCTCCTCCAGTACTTGGCTCTTCCAGGAACCTGGTATAAGTGGGACCATCCAATAGCACAGTGAAAAGTGTGCCCACTCCAGTTCAAAATCTCAGGCCTGGGAGGAAGATCCTCCATCACCTCTTTCTCTATCTAGTGGGTTGGTGACTGACACCTTTGTCCTGTGGGAGCCTAGCTCTCATTCCCACACCCTCTTCAGTGGGGGTTCATGCCCTGGAGGGCAGTCTCTTCTTACACATCTGAGCTGCCCTGATTGAGAATGTGCTGTGTTCTGTTGACCTGAGATTGGGTGGGTGTGGTTCCCATCCGGGGCTACTTGGTCCACTCCCTTCTCTACCCCTCACAGAATGTGGTTTCCAGTGCCTTCCTCCTCCTGCTCATCTTTGGATACACTGTTCACTTGGTTTTTGAGCCTCCTTTCTCGCTGTGGACATGAGACCCTAGTTAGCACCCCCTTACCCCCCAGCGCAGACATTGTTCACTCTGTGCTAAGCTCACCCCCATCCTCTGCTGTCTGGGGAAGCTGCTGCACCACTTGAACTTCCTCCAGCCCCTTAAGTCTGTCCGTCAGAGGTCCGGGCCCGTGCCTCTGCTTGTTTGGTGAGTGTCCATCATGAAGAGGGTATGCGGAGCCAGGGTGCCCTCCTCCACTTGGGCCCCAGGCCCGAGGACTTGGCTTCTATCCTGGCTTCCACATTCAGCTCAGCTGATAATGGTTGTGAAGATGTCCCCTGTGACACCATTTTATCCAAACAGAGAAGAAATCGAGAAGCAGAAAGCAAAGGAGCGTTACATGAAAATGCATTTAGCTGGGAAGACAGAGCAAGCCAAAGCTGACCTTGCCCGGCTGGCGATCATCCGGAAACAGCGGGAAGAGGCTGCCAGGAAGAAAGAAGAAGAGAGGAAAGGTAAGTGGTGAGCTCGTCTGGCTGCCTGACTCTGGTTCTGGGCAAGCCACCAAACCCTGCGCTTCAGTGTCCTCGTTGTGTGGTGGGATGGGGTTGGGTTGTTGGCTGGAGACGCAGCCTGTGGGTACATGCGTGTGCCTTTCTCGTCACGTGGAGGTGGGCGTTCCTGCCCACCACATCCCGGGGTGCGGGGAGTGTCCAGCAGCAGCCCGGAGTCAGACTAGGGTTTGAGTCTAAGCAGAGCACCGTGCACAGCAGCCGACGGAAGCCGCAGGGATGCGGCTAGGGCATACCTTCAAGGTTGGACGGTCCTGCTAAGGCATCTGGTACCTTGTGTAGCGGGGAGAGCCACCTCGGGTAACCGCTGTCCATCTGAGGGGCTTGAGAGGGTAGGGCAGGCGTGGGCTGGACCTCACACGCACCCCGGATGAAATCTGGCCCAGCTCTCCCTCTTCCGTGCTCTCCCTCCAGTGGGGTCAGAGGTTGGTGGCGGGAGCCGTGGGGAGTTGGTCTGGTTTATAGGAGCATTTGACTCAGGACTTTGCGCCTCCTGGTCTCACGCACCCCTCTGTACACGTGGGGCCACAAGAGCCCTTAGGGATCTGCTGTCCTGCCTCCTCACCAAATCATGAGGAAACAGGCCTAGAAGGGGGAGATCAGCTGCCCCAGGGTTGTCACACTACACTGGAGGTAGCCTGCTGTCCCAGCTCCCCACTGGTAGCTCTTTCCTCCCAGACCACAAGCAGGAAAGACCTTGGAATGTTGTTGCTGGTCGGAGGCTGCAGCGCCCACGGGGAGAGGGTGTGATTGTGGGGTTTCGCCTGGGGGTGGTTAGAGGTTCCTCTTTGCCCAGTAGATTGTGTGGTGGGCTTGTGTCAGGGGGCAGCCCCCCAAATGTGACGGGAATGTCTGGACACCAGGGCGCAGTGGCTTCCACAGGAACCCTCTTCCCCCCGGGCCTGTTCCTCTGCCGGCTGAGCCCGTTGCCCCGAATGTTTTCTGTGGTCTTCGAGCCCTCAGTGCCGTGCTCCCGGGGTGTGCGGGCGCATGTGTGTCGGGGGGGTGGTGTCACGTTAACACCTGCCCTTCCCTTCCCGCCCTCAGCAAAGGATGACGCGACTTTGTCGGGAAAACGGATGCAGTCGCTGTCCCTGAATAAGTAGCATGGCCTGCGGGAGGAGGCGCCAGGGGTCCGGCCGCGCCGCCAGGCCCTCTGCCGAGTCTCGCCTGCCCCGTCCTGGCGCCGCCGCAGCAGCAGCCCCTCACGGCAAGGAGCCCCCGCAGCCTGGGGCCTCCTTCTCATCTTGGCACAGAAATTGTTTGGGGGGATGGTGGGGAGGGCTGGGGGGAGGGAGCGGCTGCTATCTTTGAGACAGAAAGATGCGGGACAGCATTTCATATGTAACCATTCGAATGTTTTGCCGTTTTTAGAATTCAGAACTCTTGTTGGGGGTGCCTGGGAAGTGGGGTAAGAAGAGCTTCCATTTGTCCAGTAGGTTGCCTGGTAGGGGCTGATTGTGTGTGTGTGGGGGGGCAGCTGCTGACAAGTTTGCAACAACCGGCCCCGGTCTGTGTTGCCTGGGTGCTCACTCAGAGGGGCTGTCGTCTGGGAGCCCGTGCCCCTGGGTCCATGAGGGTCATGGCTCGTCCCCAGCCAGTCCCCTCTGCCCTTCCCCGCCCCATCCCCACCCTTCTGGCCAGCACTAGGGCCCATTCTTAACCCTCCCCGTTGATCATTTCAAGAAGCCTCTGTTTACTGTGCAGCACCCAGGCAAAACATACTCCACAAGTCCAACTTGTATATTTGGCAGATTAAACTTGACATTATCATAATCTTTGTTCTGTGATCCATTTTTGGGCCCTTGTGCCTGGGGGCCCTTTTCCCCAGCAGGGCATGGTGTTGCTCTCAGGCAGGCCTGCCCCACGAGGTTCGGGCAGCACCCAGGCGGGTGTGGGGACTGGTCCCTGGGCATTTGAGCTAGGAGAGACCTCGGGATAGAGTTCGTCCCTCCCCTCCTTTAACCCAAGTGTGGTAGACCCTAAGCCAGAGTGACCAGGGACCGGTCCACGGTCCATAGCACCAGCAGCGTGCCTCCCTGTGATGCCCTCCACGTGCCCCTGGTGTTCACAGTGTCAGAATTTCAGTGCTGGGAGGAGCATCCCAATACCTGGCATGACTGCCGGGCCTGACCTCATGCCATCCTTACCACCCTGGTGGGGATGGCAGCAGGGAAACTGAGGCTTAGCACCATCACGTGAGCTGCCTGCAGACTCGGCCACTGTGCCTGTTCCTGCTCCCGCACCCCTTCATCAGGGGCGCTCCGCCTTGTGAACACCAGCATCCTTTGCATACGGTCCTGAGAGGTCAGTAACTGGTGCCAAGCAGGGGTCTGGCCTGAGGTCAGAAAGGAGGATTTAGTGGCAGAGATGGAGTTGGGCCCCTGACTTCCAGGGATCCTGCCACGCCCCCTGGGCTTGACCATGCTGGAGGTCAACAGCCCCAGGAGCCCCGGAAGGGTTACCACAGCTGCCAGCATCTGCAGCTCCCCCTGGGCTGTGGAAAATCCCTGACCCTGGACCTGAGAAGCGGGACTGAACCTCAGAGGTTGGCCAGAGCCCCCCACCCCTTGGAGGTCGTGCAGAGCTGGTTCAGGTCTGTGCCGTGAAAATGAGTTCTCTGAGAAGACGAACAAGAAGGTGGTGGTTGTCTGGAAGGTTCACAGACAGAGTACCCTGTCTTTGGCTCCGGGGGCTGCCAGCCGGCCGAACTAGAGCCACACGGGGTGGTGAGGAGGTGGCCTCTAACGTGCTGGCAGCCGGGGGTTTGCAGGAACGGCTGGGCCAGCAGGGCTCCCTGTGTGCCCGGGACTTGTCCTTGTCTGGTTGTACCTTGGTGTGAGACTAGAAGCCAGGATGTCCCTGGTGTGTACGGGCCTCCGAGTGGTCGCACAGATCTCACCTGTGTACCTGGGTGACGTGTCGGCAAGACTTCTGGCTCGAAGCATTTCCTTCCTGGCTCAGCTAGCGATCCGGACCCACATCCAGTACGTTTCAGCAGGTGCCCCTCCAGTGGGGCTCGGAAGTCAGACCTGAGTTTGGATCCTGGCTCTGCTACCTCCTGGCTGTGAGATTCTGAGGAGGTAACTTCTTTCTCTGGCATTCAGTTTTCTCTTAAAAGGGGGTGACAAGGCCGCCCCCCCTTTTTAAGATTTGAGTGCATGCGTGCACATGGGGGGGTGGGGTAGAGGGAGGGGAGAGAAAGAATCCCAAGCAGACTCTACACTCAGCCCAACACAGAGCTCGATCTCATGACCCTGAGATCATGACCTGAGCCGAAAATCGAGGACACTTAACCAACTGAGCCACCCAGGCGCCCCAAAACCTTCCCACACTGGGGACATAATGACTCGCGTTAGGATATTCCCAGTTGTGTTCTCCTCCACTCACCCAGGTCATCCCAGCTCCTCCCTGTCCCTCATCCCCTGCATCCCGCTGGTCCCCAGGGCCTGTGTTATTCCCAGGTCACCTCACACCCACACAACTGCACCAGCAGCCTCATGTGTCTTCCCATTTTAGTGGCCTGGTTCCCCAGAATGCCAAGGACCTCCAGAAGCTGGTCTCTGGGGACCTTCCCAGTCTCACCACCCACCTCATCCCTGTCCTGCACATCAATCCTCTGGCTCCTAGAAAGGTCAGACCCTTGCTTACAGCCCTCTTGCACGTTATGACTTGCGTGGAATCTTCCCTCAGTCCCAATCCCTCCTTTTCTTGCTCCACCAGCTCCCTCCCCAACACTGGGTTGTCATCATTAACTGCCCCCACCAGACTGTGAGCTACTTGTTCCCTCCACTGTCCTCAACATCCAGTGGGGCAGGGTGTAGAAAGCCTGGCCAGTGGCCCTAGTGTCCACCACAGAACAGGGTCCAATCCCCTCCTTCCCTGATGTACTTCCCACCTGCCACAGAAGCCCAGCCCTATCCGACCTAGTCCTCTAATGCCTTTTCCTCCTTCTGAGAAGCAAAACATTGAGCCTGTCAGTTTTCAGCCAAGTACTGTGTCTCTAACGAGGGCAGACAGTTCACATCTATGAGGCCCCTGCAGCCAAAGAGCATGCTTCCTGCTCATCCTTCTCAGAGTGAGGGGAGCCTGTTTGTCAGGGTCTCAGAAGAACACTGATATTCTGGGGCCACTTTTCAGCCCTGAGGTGAGCTATAAAAAAAAGATATGTGGACACCTCCCTGGCCTTCCAGGGCCTGACAACAGTCCCGTCAGCTCTGGGACCAGAAGCTCACCTTACAGCGGGCTGGTACAGGCTGGGAGGGCCTTGGCAAGCAATTAGAATAAGAGGAGTTGTGAGGCCTGTCTCCTGGGATCTTAGAATTTCTATCTTGTGATTTAAAAGAAAGAGTCAGCGGGCCTTTTCTGACTGGGGGATATCCTGATGGATAGGCCCTAGAACAGTCTGGGATAAGGTATGTTTAGGTATCTTCCATCCTGCAAACGTAAGGCCATTCACAGTTAGGATCTGTGGATGTAACTCATTACCTGGTTGTGACTGAATAATTAGGTAACAGAAGCATGTGTTACACAGGAAAGGCCTTCTGTGAAATAGGAATGGGGGGGAAATGGTCTTAGGAAATGATGCGCATTTATCAGAAACCAGCTGCAAATGTCAAGTTGAGAAATCAGTTTCCATTAAAGCCCAGCAACAGGCTGGAACATGCAAGCACTGGTCTGGGAATCCGACTACCGAGTGACAGGGAAGCCACCAGGGTCCAGCCTTGCTCTGGCCGGACTGCGAGGGAAAGGGGAGCAGGGAGGAGAAGGCCCTTGGGCTTCGGGATCAATTTTTCTGGTAGAGCAGAAGGGACCTGTGTCCGTGAGAACACACGCTCCTCCCAAACACGGGAGACCAGCTCTAAGATTGCTTTTTTATTACATCCACGTTGTTGCAGTTCATGACCAGCACAGTACTTTGAGAACATTTTTGTTTTTAACAA